TCCCGAGGGCCGGGGACCCATTCCGCACCCCCCAGAACTTAGGGGTCTGGCTTCTCTCCATCATTCTATGTGGACAGTCACTGGGTCTGCCCTCCTTCTGGGAATAGGCATGGGAGGCGGGACCCGATAGTGACCAAGGCCTGTGGGCGGGGGATGCTTCTGGCTGGCCCAGGGAGGGAGATGCCCCTCCCAGCAAGACCTGTCCTCCCCCAAAATTTGCAGGGGTACATGGAAGGTGCCTTAGGGTGGCTTGAGGGAAGCCTGGAGAAGGGTCTGGCCAGGCTTGCGCTGCTCTAGGCCAAGCCCAGATTTGGATGATCCAGAACCCCTAGCTCTGGGAACACACATCCCCAGGGGCCCCAGCAGCCTCCTAATTCTCTGCCAGTCGCTGAAGGACACCCAGGACAGTTATTGAGTGCAGAGCAGGGCTGTTGCTGGAAGCTAAAAAGGGAATGCTTTGGCCTGGATAAAAGACCCATCTCCCAGGGCACACGTGGGTCCCAGGATCTCAAAGCACTTATGGCTCCCGGACACAGGGGTGCAGCCTCTGTACTTCCACATCAACTGGAGGTGATGGGAGGGGGTGGGCAGATAGTACCCCTGACCCCCTTCCCAGGCAGGAATCTCATTGCTGGCTGAGTGATGGGGGTGGGAACCTGTCCTGGAGCAGGCTGCCCTGGGGTCCTGTCCTCAGGTGCCAGCCCCCTTTCTCATGTATTTCTAGGCCACGCCCCAGGAGGATGTGAACAACCCACCTGTGGTCCTAGGGGAGCCAGAGAAACAGCAGAGGGTGCAGCAACTGGTAAGTCCTAGGTCAAGGGCTGGAGGTGACCTGCTGTGGGCACATCTGCCTTCCACACGAGGAGCCCTTGGTTCTGACCCCACAGGAATTGGAGCTCAGTAAGAAGCGGAAGAAATGCGAGAACTTGGAGCAGGAAGCCCGGAAAAAGCAGAGGCGATATGAGGAGCTGGTGAGCTCTTGAGGGTCGCCCGGAAGCCAACTCCTCCTGTTGCTCAGGCCAGCCAGGTGGTGGGCTCCCTCTCAGCCCTAGCTTTCTCCCTCCTGCCCTCAAGAGCACACTTTCCCTCCTGCTCCTAGGTGCTTTCCTTTCCTGCCTGATGCAGGTGCCAGGTAGAGGAAGACAGCCTTGCCTGGGAGGAGGCCAGGGTCCTCTGTGTGGGGAAAGGAGGAATGTGGTTGCCCTGCTGGGCCTCTTCCCAGAGCTCCTGTGCCCCTCGCAGGAACTGCAGCTGAAAGAAGCCCAGAATGAGAATGCCCGCCTGGTGGAGGAGAACTCTCGGCTCAGTGGGAGAGCCACGGAGAAGGAGCAGGTACCAGCTCTGCCCAGGTGTGGTAGAGGCCTGTGCTCCTGCGAGGGCCTGCTCTCTGGGCAGGGGGCTTTCTCCTCCACCCCACGGGCTAGACACTGTTCCCCGGGTGAGGGAGCTGGTGGGACAAGGCTCACACACCCAGCTCTCCGCTGCTGCCCCCTTGCCAGGTGGAGTGGGAGAATGCGGAGCTGAGGGGCCAGCTCCTGGGGGTGACGCAGGAGAGGGATTCAGCCCTTCGCCAGAGCCAGGGCCTGCGGAGCAAGCTGGAGAGCCTGGAGCAGGTGCTGAAGGTGAGAGGGCCTGCCCGTGGGGCAGGGTGTTGGGTCCTGGCACGGGGAGAAAGTGGGCAGTTGAACACACTCTGTGTGGGGTGCTGGGGTCTGAACCTCGTCCTGGTGCCACCAGCCCCTTACCTCCTCCAGCCTCAGTTTCCTTTCAACAGAGGGTATTTGGAGTAGATGGTATCTGAGGCTCCCTCATCTCAGCTCTTCTATAGAAATGGCAGGGTGGGGGCCCCTGGCCTTGACTCGGGTCTTGCGTTCCAGCATATGCGGGAGGTGGCCCAGCGGCGGCAGCAGCTGGAGGTGGAACATGAGCAGGCTCGGCTCAGCCTGCGGGAGAAGCAGGAGGAGGTCCGGAGGCTGCAGCAGGTGGGGGCAGGCGTGAGGGAAGGCTGGTAGGCTGCTGGACACCAGCCTCGCCATCCACTTGTCCAACAAGCATTTACTGTATGCCAGGCACAGTGCTAGGCATGGGGAGACCGCGGTGAACAAAGACCAGGTCCCCGGCCAATCAGCAAATAAGCAGATCCACGGGTGAGGTGATTTCAGACACTGACCAGCACAGTGGGGGGAGGTGGAAGGATGAATGGGGTGATGTGGCAGAGTGACTGGGATAGGGTGAGGAGCCGCTTGAGAGGTCATCAGGGAGGGCCTCCCTGAGGAGGTGACAGGTGAGCTTGCCACATAGGGGGAACCGATGTGCGCATGATCTGTGGCAGGGAAGAGCTGGATGGACCCAAGACCAGTGTGGCTAGAGTACAGCAAGGGAGGGGCAGAGAAGCGGGAGTAGGCAAGAGCCAGGTCCTGCGGGGTCTTGGGAAGAGTTGGAATATTTTGCTCTACGAGTGGTTGGAAGCTGTTGGAAGGTCCTAAGGGGAGTAACACGTGTGGTTGTAGTTTTACAAGATCGCATGGGTGGCATTGTGGAGGGTGGTCTGTGGGAGAAGGCCAGGAGCAAGAGCTGGGCAGTGGCCCAGGGAGACAGAGGTTGTCTGGATGAAGGTGCTGTCAGGGGAGGTGGAATCAAGTGCATGGATTTGGATTAGATTTGGAAATAGAATTGACAAGGCTCGCTGTGGGATTCCAGCTGAATCCCTTCTCGGCCACCCATTTACTGTATAAACCCTGGTGGAGGGTGGGAGTTTTCACACCCCAGGAGGTGAGGGATGAACGGACAACAGAGCTGAGAGGTCGGGGCTCCTGAGTTCTGAGTTCTGTTTTGGCCCAGTGTGGGTTGTGTGTTAAATAGTCAAGATGGGGGCATCCCCAGACAGCTGGACATGAGAGTCTGGGGTTATGGGCAAGCTGTTCTTGGGAGCCATCGATGTGTTGAGTTGTGTGACTAGATGGGACCCTTTGGGAGAGAGTAGAGAATATAAAATGTGCCCAGCACTGTGTCCAAGGGCACCCTAATATTCAAAAGGGAGGGAAGGGTTGGGCATGGTGGCTCAACTCTGTAATCCCAGTGCTTTGGGAGGCAAGGAGGGAGGGTCGCTTGAGGCCAGGAGTTCAAGACCAGCCTGGGCAACATAGCGAGACTTCATCTCGACAAAAAATAAAAAAAAATTAGCCAGGCATTGTGGAGTACCCCTGTAGTCCCAGCTACTTGAGAGGCTGAGGCAGGAGGACTGCTTGAGCCCAGGAGTTTGAGGCTGCAGTAAGCTATGATCTTGCCACTGCACTCCAGCCTAGGTGATAGAGAGTGACTCTGTGCCCTGGACAGAGAGTGGGTGGGGGGAGACAAGGAGCAGACAAAAGTGGGTGAGAAGGGCATCCAGAGAGGCAAAAGGAAACCAGGAGGTGGCAGTTCCAGGAAGACAGAAGTAGTGTCGGGCCTCACCGCTCCTTGACCCCTCTGTCTTCTGGTCACGGTGGGAGTTTGGGAGGGAGCAACCCTCCAGCCTGCCCTTCCCACCCCCCTTCCCTTGTCTCCCAGCCCTTTTCCTTCTCCCCGTTTCCCTGCCTCTGTCCTTCCTACCCTCCTATCCCCAGTCCTCATCCTTCCCCTCCAGCATTTTGCCTCCTCCCACCTGTAGGCCCAGGCAGAAGCCAAGCGTGAACATGAAGGGGCCGTGCAGCTGCTGGAGGTAGGGTCCCTGGATGTGGCCCCCAGCTCCACCACCTTGCAAGAAGGCAGGGGAACTTCAGACAGAGCTAGAATGTGTGTGCCTGCGGGGGTTGGGGGGCATTGCAGGAGGTGCTGGAGGCGACCTTAAACGCTCCCGGGCCTGGGGAAAACCTCTCCACCATTGCCCTATTTCTCAGGCTGGGGCATGACTGGGCAGGGGGCTCCTGAGTCTGGTGGCAGCAGTCTCCCATCGCCACCCACCCCCAGAGGCTGACTTCACCCTGAAATACCCTTCCATTTAGCAACTCAGTCAGTCCAGGGAGCTGACTGGATGGTGTCTCCTTAGGCCCTCCTCTCATTCTCCTTCTCTGGGTTAATGACCTACAGTGCTAAGGGCTTTAACCTCTTCCCTGTGCTTTCCTTTTCTGCCTCAGTCTACCTTGGATTCCATGCAGGTACAGTCACATTCTCCCCCCTCCACCTCCCTGGGGCACCCCTCTGACACCTCTTGGGGTTGGCTGAGCTGCAACTCATGACTCAAGAGGTTCCAGCCCTCATGCCCAATAGAAGTGGGTGTCACTGGGAGCAGATGAGAAGCCATAAGTGGGCTGGGATTCCTACGAGACATGTGGACTGTCCCCTCATCCCAGGCTTGCCATGATCCTGGCAGATATGGGGCCTTCTGTCTCTAGATACCCAGACCATGAAGAAGCTCATTACCAGTCTAACTCATGAGCCCCATGATGTTGGCCGGGGAGAGTCCCCATATCATGGGCCATTCCTGTCACAAGTGTTCCTGGCTTCCTAGTGGAATCTCTCGCCCACCTCTCCGAGGGCAGGGATTTGGGTGCTGGTGGTGGGAGGGTGATGAATGATGGAGCTGAAAAAACTCCCGAGGTGATGCTGGTGGTGATGGTGGCAGCGGGGTGGGTAGGGTTCCTTTTGTCCTAGAAAGCAGCTAGAAGCAGAAGTGCTACCGCCTGGGCGTGAGAGTTGGTGAGTGTGTGGCAGGCCCCACCTTTGCTCAGGAGGGGCCGGGTGAGGATGTCCTAGGACACAGCCCAAGACTCCACCCTCAGCTTGGATGTGTTAAGGGCACAGGGAAGGCCGGGCCAAGGCTGGTGCCCAGGCCTGGGCTGGGTGGATGTGATCCGAAGCCCAGTGTGGGGCTGCGTGGAGATGGCACAGGCTGGCATTGGGCAGCTTTGCTGGGCCTGGTGGCTCATGGTGGGTCTTGGCCCAGGCCCGGGTTCGAGAGCTCGAGGAGCAGTGCCGCAGCCAAACAGAGCGCTTCAGCCTCTTGGCACAGGAGCTTCAGGCCTTCCGCCTGCACCCTGGCCCCTTGGATCTGCTCACCTCTGCCCTGGATGGTGGGGCCCTTGGGGACCGCCCACCACCCCCCTGCTGCTGCTCCACCCCCCAGCCCTGCCGGGTGTCCGGTCCCAAAGGTAAGGTGGACCCCAGTGACATTGGCCTGGGATCCCCAGGTCTGGGGCTTTTGTGTAGAGCAGGGAGCTCAGGATCAGAGAAGGCCAGTAACTCATCTAAAGTCACACAGCAGGTGACAGCTCTGCCTGGCTAGAACCATGCTCTGATGGGGAAAAACAAAGCCCAGGGGAGTGATTGTCCCAGAGTCTGGCTCAGGCATCTCAGGCCTCTGCTCCTCTCCCTCCATCAAGACCTCTATGGTCAGAGCAGGGAGTTGGGTGCTAGCAGTCAGTAGAAGGCAGAATGAGCCGGCTCGGTGGCTCAGCCTATAATCCCGTGCCTTTGGGAGACTGAGGTGAGTGGATTGCCTGAGCCCGCGGGTTCGAGACCCAC